TGGCATGAATGCTTAAGCTCATTGGCTGCAGCAAAAACTCGACAGCGGCAAGTGTTGTGTTGCGATTGTTGGCATGACGCACCGCGCACAGCATCTGTTATCGCTTTGTAGCAATCAGAAAGTTTCCACAACTCAGTTGGCGCAAATTATTTTCTTCTTCTTCTTCTTCTTCTTCTTCTTCTTCTTTGTTCCACTAAAAATTTCTTCCTGGGAATCTTTCACTTTTTACGAACGCAAATAAACAAACTGACCGCCGTCCCTGTAATACAAATACAAATTTTCTGTTCTTATTGTATTTTGATAACAACAATTGTATTGTGGTATGTACATATATACATATATTTTTCTTATTGGTGTGAAAGTTGTAATCTTTCCCATCGAAAATTAACGCAGCTGAAGAGAGATTATAACGAAATGTTTATTTATTAATTTTCCATTTTTATTAATAATTTGCTTCATACTTTTCAACTAAACGATTTTGGATTTACAAATGACCGTTGACGATAAAGTGATAATGCTTGAGTGAAGTCAAGTTTTTGGCCAATGGGAGGACGAGAATTCGCCCTAAGAAAAGTTTCAATATTAAAGAGCACCTCTCAACACGTCTTAGATCTGTTAAGGGAATGTCGGAAATGTGAGTGAGGACGTCACTCGGCAAATGCTTATACAGTCCAAAATAGCGCCAGTAGGCAAGAATGGTTTTCCGTTGAATTTTATGGACGACATTGTTTTTGATGCTGATGCCGATCGCAATAAGAGAAAAACCAACAATTTCAATCGCTTCACAATCGATTTGTCGCATTGTTTTTAATGCATTGAAATTATTAAAATTTACAATCGAAAATGGAGAAAAGCTGGCAGAGACGGTTCGTTAAACTAAAACACTTCTCGGTCGTCGTGAAGCACCTTGTCGGACCACGATACGGAAATTGGTGGAAGCAAGTTGGGTTAACTTAGCGCACGTCGCTCAAGATCAACAGGTTGACTCTAGAGTTGAAGATATCCCAGGTTTGTCTATTTCTTAACGTTCTTTAGAATTGTGTCTTCCGCTAACATAATTTCACCGTATTTCGCATACAAATTTGGGTCTTGAGGCCAATTAAGTTTAGTTATCACAAGAACTCAAGCCGGATGATCATCAACAAAGTCAGGTCTTTGCTGATTGAGTCCTTGGAATCAACGAAAACGATCCGAAATTTCATTGAAATGTCGTCTTGACTATTTAGGCCCATTTCTATGTCGATAGAAATGGCTCGGAAAGCCCAAGATGTATTATTGGAAAGCCCCTCCATCATCAACGTGTAAATGTACGGTTCAGTTATGTAAAGTGAGGCTGGATCGTACTGCTCTGGACAACGTTTACTTTCAACAAGACGGCGCTACGTGTCGCACATGCAACGAAACCATTGATCTTTAAAGGGACAGTTTTATGGAGCACCGAGACCTTGTGATTTAACATCTTGAGACTTCTTCCTTTGGTCCTCGTTCATGATAAGTTCTACGCCCACAGGCCAACGTTTATCAAGAACTCCAAGATGTAATTCAGGTACTCTATTTTCTCACTCTTATGGTATGAATTTTTGTTTCTTTTTTTTAATTTTATGTGCGAGCAAGCTTCGACCAATTATGTTGGATTATACGTTTAAATCTATGAATTATCCACCCATTCCTGGCCCTCTGGTTCACATTATCTCCTCCGAATTTCTGTGCGTGGTAAACTATAATTTCTATCATCCAAAACTGTTGTTGTAATAATTTCACTATTTCCAAAGAATAAATGGTCATTGACCTCAAAAAGCAAGAGCCATATTTAGTTTTTAGTTTGCGATGAGGCCCGTTTCTGGTTCAATGGGTATGTAAACCAGCAAAATTGTCGCATTTAGTACGAAGAGCAACCTGAAGCGATTCAAGAGTTGCCATTTGATCCAGAAAAAACAACGGTTCGGCCGGTGAGAATATAACTGTCAATGCCGGCCGTTATTGTGCCGTGATAACCGAGTATTTATTGGCTGAAATTCAAGCTAGTGATCTCAGCGACATTTGGTTTCTACAAGACAGCGCCACTTCCAACACATCGCATCAATCAAGGGATTTATTGAGAGAACACTTCGGTGAGCTGGATGATTAAATACCATGATCATGAGATATCACATAGTTGAGGTTCCCCTGTAAACTTGGAAAATATGCCTTATTGGTGTTTTTATTTTCTTGAATTTTATATGTGACAACCCTGTCATTTTCGAAAATTTTTCCTAACTGCGTGACGATTCCAGGTGAGTGTGCCGTCTAAGGTTATGGCTTTTTATTCAAAGGGTAAACTAGTTGTCTTTGGGTAAGGTGGTTCAAAACAACTCACAAATAATTTTATGCCATCCCTATAATCACTTTCCGGTAGCTCATCCGTCATTCGACGAAAACGCTTTCCACGAAGGAATTGTTTCAGGTTTCTAAGGAGGTAATAGTCGCTGGGAACCAAATCTCTTGAATAGGGGAATAGGTTTGATGCTCAAGCTACTCGAGGTTTAATTCGTTGAATTTTGTCATGGTTAAAACACCTTTGTGATCAGGTCCATTGTCTCGATATAAAATGATTTTTTTGTGCTGCACATCAGGTCTGTTTTCACGAATATTTTCACCCAACGGATCCAAAAGGCTGCAATAATCTTCATAGTTGATTGCTTTACCTTTCTGCACATAATCAATGAACAAAAGTCCTTTTTCATGCCAAACTACTGATGCCATTATCCATAGTTATAAAACGACACAAGCGGTTTAATTCTGTTTAAGACGCTCCAAATTATGCTGAGAGATTTGTTGTCGATCTAGTTTTTGTTGAATTGTTAACGTGAGCGGCACTAACTTTCCAAACAGCTTTTACATGTGCAATTCTTAGTACTCGTTCGTCGGAGATACATTTGGCATTAGCAATTTCACGCTTAGCAAACTTGAATCTTCACTAACCTGGTGTGGTTGCGGTTTTCGGTCGTTTTTCACCAGCCCAAAGGTTTTCTTGTAACGATGACTGTTCGATACTGGCGTCGGGCCAATATGATCTTTGTTGGAAAGTGACAGGCTATCACGCCGACCGGTCCCACTTCTTCACTTAGCTTAAAATTCAACCGACCACCCCTCGGCTACCCTTTTCAGCAGCTGGACGAAGGAATGCAGGCTCGAACTAGCTCTGAATGTCAATGGCCGATGTCGAAGTTCCGACCATAAATAAACCGTAAATATTGGAAGTCACATTTGACAGCGCTAGTCGGCAGCACCTGTGGTAAAGTCAAAGAAACTCCACTGGCCTGCAAGAACACCATTCTCAGGACCGCGACAGGAAACCTTCTGATGTTACCGGAGCAACACTAGCACTATGAAGAATCTATGGTACGGGTTAAGGGACATAATGCTTTGCCGTGCAAGCAGTTCCCATTGGGTCACCAACAGACATCTACTAGATGCGGAACCTCTACCCAGGCACAACAGAAAGGGAGTACTAAACATGAAAGACACCATCCAACAAAACGTTCAACAACCGTTGTACAGGACGGCCTACAGACAGGCACTGAACGCCATGCAGCAGGAGTCAGTTAACACCTTCAAATACTCTCTTACTGTGAATAGCGTTTAACTCGGAGTTAAACCACCACCCATAGCAGACGAAGAGCTCGAGCTACCTAGAGGGGCCCGAGTATTAATGGCGCAACTTAGGTCTAGATATTGCTGCAGCTTAAATTCATACCTTTTCAGGCTCGACTCCGACATACCTAACGTAATTCGAGCATGTAACGAGCTCCCACATGACACTAGCCACCTCTGTACATGCCTCATAAAACCAATGCATTTAACCGCTCTCTCCCTTTGGCCCAAACCCGTCGAAACAGATCGTTTACTGGATCTCCCGTTCCATAACCTCCAGCTTGATTAGATCCATATTAAAAATATACTCTGACCCGTCAACCTCAAATGGTTTGTAAACAAAGAAAAAATGGACAGAAAGACTGGTAACTTGCATTCGACCTCAGGACAGATTTGGGGCTAGTAGAGCTATTTCTTGGTGTTTTGAGCAAACGAATTATATTCGAAACCAAAAATTACATACATACATATGTACTCGTATATACTCCATAATGTATTGGATGAGTGCATAAGTTCGTGCCCGATTTCAAGTGCAAACTAAAATTGAAATTTTTTGAAGAAAGCGCTTTTATTAATCAATTATTTATTCGCCATCATGTTCGGCAATCCACTCCCAACGTTCAACCAATTTACGGATGCCTGATTCATAGAANAATGAAGTTATTTTATGCTTGATTTACAGTTCGGACTGTCTCCTTTCCAACGATATATAATATGTATATATTTCTTTCTCGAACACCACTCTCAAACGATTCGAACGGCATCCAGCGGAATCGGGCACGAACTTATGCACTCATCAATAACCGACTGCAGGTACTCGATGAACTAATTTCAAAACATCTTCGGTGACTCGGTTGTTATGCGGAGATGGAGTATATGGTACTACCCTAGGACATCGCAATATTAATTGGACCATATATTTTGAATGGATTGTGGTTAGTTTTGGATTACTCTCCGTGTGCAAGGGATAGTCGCTTTGCTTGCTGGGTTCTTTCTTAGATACGAGTAAATTAAATATTTGGGTATAAAAATTACTTCCATTTTGCGATAGTGCTGAATTAATATTTACTATAAATGTAAAATAAGTAGTTGGCAATCCTCGAGCCCACATGAGAAGTGAAAAAAGAATAAAGGAAACGTAAAGACATACGAGAAGCAGCAAAGAAGAGGAGTCAGTCGGTTGCAGAGTTTCAATAAAAGAAGTCGTTAAGTTCGCTGTGCAACAATAAGTTATGCTTCGAAAATTTCAAAACGTTGCTAAAATTGCAATAATCAGGTCATCAAGTTGTCAAATAGATAAATCCAATGCTGTACAACTCTTCAATCAGCAATATCTAACATTTTCATTCAATAAAGTTGCCAAATAATTTAAATGCAATAAAACATTCGATTAGCGTTTAATGCTACATTTTATATAAGTATAATATATACATATATACATGTATATGCATGTATATAAGTTTTCAATATATACAAAATAAAATATATTTTCATTCACCCTTCCAAACAATATTCTCAATGAAATCCAAGTTATCATAGACACTTGTAATATGGTGGGAAGTATAAGAAGAGTTGAGTTGCTCACTCTCCGAATCTACAGCAATTAGTCTATGATGCTTTTCATTCATATCATATGCTAATAGAACTAGGGGTCCATTAGAAGCGATGCGGATATCCATTACACTGTTTTCATCAGTTTCTGGACCGGAATCAGTTGCCAGGCTGGTATCGATTTTAGTACATATTTGATTAGGCGATATGTGGTTGTCTTCAAGTGTCTTACAACGTTTATAAGGGACCATTCGACGAAGAATTTGTCCCGATATCAGTTTCCTATTTTCATCTATATGTAAGAAATTGTTATTATTTATGCAGGAATATGCCATACATACATACATACATACATACATACATACATACATACATATATATATATATATATATATATGTGTCACAACACTTAAAAATACATGCATACATATATTCGTATATGCACTTACCCCAATGTGCATAATAAACTATACCGTTTGTTACCGGTATTGTTGGAGATGTAAATAAACAAATCGGATATAGGAGTGCGGAATACGACAATTCTTTCTCCAATTCAACCAAACCAACATAATTGTTGTCTCTAGAAAATCTCGAGAATTTTGGATGTAAATGAACTTTCTGAAATATTTACGAAATAATGAAAATAATTAAATATCATGGAACCTTACATAAAATTCATATATACCTTTATCTTGCGCACAACCACATCCATGGCCAGGGAATCCAGACGACTTGCAAAACCCACACGTGCTATATTCACCTTGACCTTAGATATACATTGAGCTGTTGTAACTAAAAATCGCTTTTCGATCAATGCCCCCGTACAGTGGTAACGGTAATTGTGTGGAGCAGTTTCCACTCCAATACTGGCCATGTAGTGAAAATTTCCAATAGGAAAGTTTGGTGGTTTGTTTCGTTCTCTATTGATACAAGCTAAAAATAAATAGACATATCTACATGCTATGTAAGTGTAAAACTTCGAATGTATATTGTCTTTCTGTTGGAGGAACTAACTGTTACAAGCATACAATCAAATCTGACGTACCAATAATCTTTCGCTAAAGAGCAAGGATTACACTTACTTTGCGGTGGTTTTCAATTTTAGATCAATTTAGGCCAACACTAAGCCATTTAGACATCATTCAAGAGTTAAACCAAACATATATCAGGTGTACAACTTTGCTTCCGCCGTTTTCCGATAGGTGGCTGTACCGGCTGAGGCTGGTAGAAATGCATAGATGATAATGCCTTTTAAGTGAGTGTTGACAGTGTCTAACGAATTGTCATCGCCGTTTCAGTGACAGTTGTTCTTGTTTTCGTATTATTCACGCTCGAAAATGTCCGTTTATGTGCGTAATTCTCGCCATTTGCGGGAAGTTTTACTTTTCTGTTACAATTCGAAAAAAAATGCAGCTGAAGCGCATCGAATCGTAACCGGTGATGAAAAATTGGTTCGATACGATAATCCTAAACGCAGAAAATCATGGGGAAAGCCCGGGCATGCTTCTTCGTCCAAGGCAAAACCGAATATTCACGGCGCCGGGTAAAACCATCACAGGAGATCGCTACCGAACGCAACCGATGCGCCTTAGTCGCGCGCTAAAAGAAAAGCGACCTCAATATCAAGAGCGAAAGGACAAAGTCATCCTTCATCACGACAATGCTCGGACTCACGTCGTAAAAGTGGTCAAAAAGGACCTGGAAACGCTGAAATGGGAAGTCTTGCCCCTCCCGCCGTATTCCCCAGATGTCGCCCCTTCTGACTTCCACCTATTCCGTACTTTTGTACTTTTTTTCCAACACTTTTTCGCAATAAAGCTTTTAATTTTGGAAAAAACGGCGGAAGCAAAGTTGTACACCTATTACAAATTACAAATAATTGATTGATATTAGAGAGCTTTCAAAAGGAGCTTTAAATCCAGTTCGAAAGTTTAGAATAAATCAATGTAAGGCTTTCGCCTCAAAGGGGAAACAAACAAAACTGCTAGGACAGTTCACGCAGAATCTTATCTTGTAGCTTTAAGATTATTACGGTTAGCGATCAACACTCCGAAGGCGCCGAATGTAGATGTACTCAAAAACGTCCAAAAAAAAAGAAGAAGAAAAACTGTCTACAAACTACAAAACACTTTGCAAATAAGACAACCATTTTTATGCATCGCTATAAAAGTAAATACTTACATTGTTCAGCTAGTCTGCCAATTTCTGGAACATTTATTGCCGTAGATAGATTGCTGGTTGGTCTTGAAGTAAGAATTAACACTTAATTTAAAGTTGAAATATTGTTTTCTATCAAAATACATTAGTTGTGCAGAATTGTCTAAATATCTAAAGCTGTACAAATTTAATTCGACCAAGAAGTCTACTCACTGCTTGCCAGGAACAGTCATGGCCTCTGAAATCCTCACCTGTCTTTAAAATTACAATTTTAAATAAAATTTGATTATCTGTTCAACTATAATTTTCTAATTGACTTAGTTTCTGATGGCTTTTTGAACTCTTGGAAACTGAGATATGAGCTCTAGTGGCCTAGAACATACATACATATATATCTGTATAGACAGAGAGGTATGTATATACATACATATAATATATATGCGATAAATAATTGTCATTCCACTTCTCTTCACTCTTTAGTACTTTTTCTTTGAATGAAACACTGCGTTACCCAGCTCCCGAACAACCGACCAATTGGCGTATTTGGAAACCACAAAAGGAACATTGCGAACTGTTCTGACTCCGTAACCGATCACGAAAGAATACTGAAGCCAAAATGATACAAACCAATCACAAATTGCAAATAAATTTTTCCGAAGCCAAATGAAGGAACTTTGAACAGCTGATTCCTGAGGAGCGCCAGTATGCATAGCTGAGTCAATAAAGCAACACAACGTTTTCCGTCAGAAAATTAATTTATGTTATCAGTAACTTTTTATCACGCTATAAATGTGGAGAGAGATTAATTTGTACAATCATCTGTGTGCCAAAAAAAAAAAAAAACGCACCACCAAAAATTCTCCCAAAATCCCAAAAGGAAACTTTCTCATCGACGTGTCACTGTGGGAAATTGTTATAAAAATGTGGATATAAAGAGTTACAGAGAAACTGCCATAAATTATATCCATATAGAAAACATAAAGGAAACAACATTTTATATATTAAAGATAATATTAATTAAATATTTCATAATAGAAAGACCATTAAGCACTGCACAAGCCAATAAAAATTCGGTCAGTTGGTGACTTTCAATTTTTTTTTTTTTTTTTTTTTTTTTTACAAATACTTAGTGAATGCCAAATTGCATATAGAAGACTATTTCTAATTGGTTCCGAAGATTTCACACCGTACATTTTTCCGTAGAGGACGAGCCACGAGATGGTCGACCAAAGTACAAAATTGACGAAGACCCACAATTAACACAAGAAATGATTGCTAAGGAATTGGGCGTATCGCTTATGTTAAATAATCATCTGGGATTTACGAAGAAATCTACTTGATGGTTACCATGAATTTTAACTAGCCAAGAAAGAGGCTCGGGTATATTTTGCTCAATTTTTCTTAACCAAATTCGAAAAGGGTCAGTCTAGGAATTTTATTTATTTTTATTTACGATCCAGAAACAGCAGTCCATAGTATGCAGCCGTACCGGAGCAAACCCACCCGTAAAATCTAAGCAACAAACACCAGCAGCAAAAGTAATGATGTCAGTTCAGTTCACCCGAACTAAATGGAAAAGGGTCAAACGGTAGCTCCTAAATGGTACTGCGAAGAGTGCTTACCTAAGGTTTTCAAAAATTTGTTGGAAAACAGGATGAGAGGATTTGCGGCTCTGCTTTTTACATCATGACAATGCGCCATCCCACACTGCTGAAATAATGAGTAATTTTATAGCGATCTCTGGGATCGAAGAAGATAATTAATTCGGTTAATGCTGAACTTCATAAGCGTAAATAGCAAGATTTTGAAGACTGTTTTCAGAAGTGGATCCACAGGATTAAGAAATGCATTGAAATAAATTTGCTATTATGCAGAGAAGATAAAATACGATTAAATACAAAAAGAATTTTTTATTTTTTTGACAACTTATCGAATTTTCGTTAATCCCGTCCTATATGGGCGCTCTAGAAGCAATAATCAAGGTAATCTTTGTTAAAAATGAAATCTCTTCACCACGTACGGAAGAGAGAGATTGAAAGCTTTTGACGGTTGAAAATTTTGGACAAAACAAGAAAATTGAATTATGTGACTGCACTGACATTAATCTGGCGAACTTGAGCACTGTGGAAAACATACAGAAATTCAATCACAACTCCTCACTTATTAGGCAGTTTAGAATACAATTTCCCTCACACGCTTTGTTCGCGAAAAATTTAACTAATCTTTAATATTCACTTCAGTCATCCATCTGAAACTTTCGCCAGCAGATTACAGTGTACAATGCCTGTATACGTTGGAAAGTCACAGGACTTGAATTTTATGCAGCTAGGGAACGACTTTTTATCTGTGTTTCACTTCTTTGTAGAATGTTTGAAATTAGTTTCGGAAAAACTCACCTGTGCTCAGTTCTAGAATTTAACGCATCCACTGCAGAGCTCAATTTTGAAATGCTATTTTTTAATTCCTCTTCCTTCTTTTTGAGTTCCTTCATTGTGCTGTGTAGAAAATGCATAAAAATTAGTTTAAAGTTCAAATTGTCAATTGTTGAAAAATTTTCGACCTTTCACCTTTGCAAAGTGTTTTCCATTAAGATTAATTTTTGTTCGAATGAATCCACTCGCTTTTCCAAATTTGCAATTTTTGAATTCGAATTTGAAATTTTTTCATTTAATTTCCTTTCCGATTCCTTCAGTTCCCAAATATTCCTGTAAGTAATAGGAGATCAATATTTAATTAAATATTTAATTAACACTTTACTGAATTAAATTCACCTTTGTAGAATACTTTCCATATTAGTTTGCTTCGCTTCACAGGTGTTGCTCCATTTTATGACATTTTCAATATCGTTACCGACATCCATATATATGGTGAATGACTGTTCGATACCAAAACCGCTTATACATTTCGCCAGCAAAAGCAAGAGTGAATAACAGCGCCAAACTCCTCGTCCTGCCATTCGTGAATTATTAGGATTAAATGTTACTATTCGACGGAAGCGATTTTATACTAGTTTTTGCACGCGACTTCGACTGCATGGAATTTGAAAATAGTTTTTATTAGATTTTTAATTGTATTTTTTTTTAAGATTTTAAAATTTTTCGATTCTTTCAAAATAAAAAAAAATATTTATTACTGTGTATGAATTGAAAGGTTAAATAAACATAAAAACAAAATAAAATTATTTATTAATTTTACCACAACGGAACATGACCTTCGATCTGGTAACAGATTCAAAAAAAAAAAACAAATCTGTGTCACTTTCCAAATAATATTCAACTTTGCCCATATGAAGGCAGCCTTCCCACAAGTAGGCCTCAAGTTCTGCTATTTGCAGGTAATTTGTCAATTGAAATCATATGTGGATGTAACATATATATTTAACGAATACTTTACTTATTTGCTTTTAACAAACTAAAATTTTTTTCATACAAAAAATTATATACAAATCATCAAATGAATTATTATGAACGGTTTTCGCATAAAAGATCGACGTTTTCGGCGCCGTCTGGTTGAGAGTAATCAATTGTCCAAAGCAATACCAACCAATTCGGGTTATAAAACAATAGTTAGTTACCTCACGACAGTGCAATTTATTCATTTCCGAAAAAGTAAGTTGCAATGACCCCGCTAGATCATAAACCGTACCAAACAGTTACACGTTGAGAATGGAAATACTTTTCAATAATAAATCTTGGCGTAGCCATCGAAATGGAAATGGAAATTTGCATGCATTTCAAGGACCCAATCAGCAAAGACACGAGATTGTTGATGATCGGTCGGCTTGAGTTCTTGAGTTCTTGCGTCAACTGAACTTTAAAAGCCTTAAAATGCAAGTCTTCGCGCCGAATACATGTACGTTGTAATGAGGTCTGTGGAAATCCAAAGAGCGACGAGGAATGAATAAACCTGGGATTTCTTCAACACTTTGGGCTACAACAGCACGTGTTTTATTCCTTACATTTTGCAACAATTTCCAATGTAAGTGGTCCGACAAGGTGCTTCACGACGTCCGAAAAATGTTTTAGTTTTACGAACCATCTCTCTGCCAGGTTTTCACCATTTTTATAGTAAATTTCAATAATATCAATTTGTTGTTGAAGTGTTTATCGTACCATTTTTTAATACTGCCTTGACAAGCAAAATCAAATGTTAAAAAAATGACAGCTGCAAGAGTGATATTTACCGGATTAGCAGCTTATTCAAAATAACACCACTTATTGGAAAAACCTTTATATTGCACAATTGTTGCACACACACACACTCGTGGTTAATAGACATTCTTTTAAAGGTTTTAACCAAAAAAAATTAATTTGAATTTTATGCCATGCGAACTAAAACCCTGATGTCTTCTAAAATATCGGTCCCAGGGTAATTTGCCAAAAACAAAATTGATTTAAATATTAATCTCGCCAAAGAGCCGCCTATGTACCAAATGACATGTATTTAAGTCGAGGATTGAGTTCCAATATTTAATAAAAAAATAATTTTTTTTTGCCTTTTTTTTCAAATATTTTGATTATCACTCTTTTATTTTCAGGACAATGCATTACACATTCATATTCATTATTTATTTTAGTAGTAGTTTTTGCTAAATGAAATTCAAATCATATTACTGTGCTTTTGCGCTGCTAGCTAATTTCTCTACGTCAATACAATTTATATACAAAACACTTAGAAACATATACATATTATATATATATTGTACATACGTGTATACGAAGAGCTCACTATTTAAGAAATTTCTTCCGCTTATTATACAGCTTCAACACTTTGCTTGAACTGATCGCCAATCAATTGCCACTTATGCTCGTTAATCTGTTGATCACACCGTTGTGCGGGGAATTAATATTATTTAGAACAAATATTCAGTGGTGTTACAGCATCAGCTTGTTGTCAGAATTTTTCACATGCATATCGATTTCATTTTCGAAACTAAATTTCCATCGATTTTGTGTGTTAGAGAAACTGATTTAACGGTTTTTATGTGTCAGAATTAAACCGAGCAGTTAATCGTTGATAGAATTGTGTGCTAGCTTCTTTGCAAGCGGAAATTTAATAAAAATGTAACTCATGATTATTATTTTCTATTAACTGCGGATTAAGTGTTTTTTGTTAAGAAGATATTTGTCTCTGAATCTACATACATATAAAAAGATTTTGTATCAGCAAATGTAAAAGTAGAACGCAAATTACATCGACTCTGGCAGGACCGGCTGAAGCGCATCGAATGCTCTCAGAAACTTACGGTGATGCTGCTCTGAGTAAAAAAACGTCGGGAGTGGTTTCAACGAATATTCACGGCAAGAGCGACAAGACAAAGTCATCCCTCAACACGACAATGCTCGGCCTCACGTCGTAAAAGTGGTCAAAAAGTACCTGGAAACGCTGAAATGGGAAGTCTTGCCCCACCCGCCGTATTCCCCAGATGTCGCCCCTTCTGACCTCCACCTACTCCGTTCGATGGCACACGGCCTGGCAGATCAACATTTTCAATCCTTCGAAGAATTGGAAAAATAGATTGCTTCATGGATAGCATCAAAAGAGGACTCCTTTTTTCGAGCCGGGATCCGAAAATTTCCGGAAAGATGGGAGAAAGTTGTCGCTAGCGAAGGACAATACTTTGAATAAAATATCTGTAAGCACTTTTTCGCAATAAAGCTTTTAATTTTGGAAAAAAACGGCGGAAGCAAAGTTGTGCTACTGATACTTCTATCATAAAAAATGCTATCGCTGCCGAGGTCATTTTATTTTAATTAAAACTCACTCAAAAAAAGCTAAATTAAATAACTGGCTTTTTGGCATAAATTAGTGTCCAGCTGATTCGAAAAACGTTTTTACTTCTCTTCGAAACAAGCAAAATCTAGACGGTTTCAAAACACGATTACAAACCGATGGCGATTTTCAATACCGATAAATAAGCAATTCGGTGTCGGTTCCTGTAACTCCTCCCTGATTATGTTGAGTAGAAAAAATCAGTTAAATTATTTAATTAAGTGTCACACAATTCACAGAATATGCTATATTAATCTCAATTTATATAATTCGCCTATTCTTATTAGCTCAGATTTGTTGATATTTTATGAAAAGTAATTTCAGGGGAAAATACACCTAATACAATGCTGCTGTGAGCTTACAAGCTATATTTGTTGTTGGTTTACGAAAAGTATGTATGTCTGTAATTCCTGGTGTAGATTAGAAACTAATAAGTTGTCTGTCATAGCAAAACGAATCTTGAAACTGATTTTGTGATTGTTTGAATTTGATGTGATATGAGCTTCATACTTCAAATACCATCGAGTCTTCAAGTTGAATAGTCCCCGGCAAGCCCGAGCATCATTTTTTAAATTTTATTCTGGCTATGTGCAGTTTTTTTTTTTAAATGGGATTTGGCAACAGTCTACATGCTAAAGAAGCATATAAAATTATTGCCTGAAGAATTGTTTTTCATATTATCCATTTGTTTTCTTTGCTCATACTAGACCGCCTGTAAGTCAATCGTATTTTCTTGTACGTATATTACGTGCTCAGGGTATGTTATTTTTTTTTCTTATTTTTTTTTTTAAATTTACTCTGAGCTATTTGCCAGAGGCCTTGTCTATTTAGTTCTGCAGCTCTTATTTTTTAATCCCGCATCGAATTGAAGAAATCGCACGGTAAAGAGCCACCCTGTCTGAAACCTCGTTTGGTAGCTAACGGCACGAAGACGTCCAGCTCATTTCTGAAAGCGTTTCTTGTGGTGTCCAGTTGCAGTTTGTGATCAGTTCTAATCTTTGGAAAATTAGACCAAATTATGCATTGTATAGATTAAGTGGCCTAATACTGATACCCTCAGATACTCCAGCCGGATAATGTCGGTACCTTAGCCAGTTTCCAAGCCTGGCAAAATATTGTAAAGTAAAACAAGAATTCATAATGAAAGTGAAAGATGGCATCGCTTCTTTACTTCGGTAAGCTAAATAGCGGAGGTCTCTAGAGCGAGAGAAACTTCAATTGAGAGTTAATTCGACATGCGAATGACGGTTATAGTTATGATGAAACAATGTGTTTAGTGTAGTGTGCGTGAAATTTATTTGTAAATAAAGAAATGTTAAACGGTGGGCGGGTATATTTAAGCTTCCAGAGATGCAATTATAGTCGCGGGGCTTTAATAAGTTCATACTCTTGCGTCCACCTTGTGCAATCTTTCTGCATAATGCAGAAGCCAATCCATTTGGGTCAGCAATACACCTTGACAGTCCAATCCATTAATTTGCTGGCGTCGGTGCCCTCTGGTTGATATCCTCGTAATATTAAATCAATGTCCAAAAAGTGCGCTGGACGGATCTTTTACATTTCCAACAATGCTCATATAAAACAGCACAAATTTGGTGTCGGATTAGTGCTGGGCGAGAGACTCCTTCGCCGAGTCCCGCCATTCACTTTAGTTGACGATCATCTCACCATAATGAGCATTGAAGCGAAATGTTTCGATACATCGGTACTTTGGCCCCAAGATGGACAATGTGACCAAGGATGCCTTCTATAAGCGTATTTACCAGGTTACTTGATTATCTCCGGATCGAAAAACCCACAACCAGATCGACATATTTCCAGTGTTCTTAATGTGCTTACGCCCAACAACGACTTTCCTGTAACAAAAAAAAAATGCCCGTCTAGAAACACAAGGAAAGTTCCAAGTCGACTCGACTTGTATCTGAAACACTCATCAGTAACTCGGTATAAAGAAATTATTTGACGGCATTTCGAGCTCCCTACATATAGCTGAAAACGAAACTATTCGTTTTTGGAAAGGTCAAAAAACTGCTTGTACAATGAGGATTTACATATAGCAGTGGAAGAAAAAAACAGCAACAACTGCCTACCTTGCAACCTTACGATCGGCCATAGCACGTGAAGGTGCGAATAAATACCGTAAATTAAAGAGGAGAGCAATACATCGGCATGTCTAGGCAAAAGAGACCGAGTTACATAACCATGCAGAGCTTGAGAGACTAGTCGACGGTGGTAATGCTTATAAGCTCTACGAATGAATGTGACGACTTGTAGAAGGTTTCAGGACCGCAAAAAAAACTCTTGTAAGATCAGGGTGATTTGATGTGCGGAGTATACTGAATTTATAAAGATAATACTACTCCAGCCTGACGAATGGCAGTGAAAATGGAACACTGGGAGATGACGAGCCTGACAGATGTTTCAGTGCCCGAGTATGAAGTGGTGCGTATAGCAATCGCCGGCCTGAAGAACAACGAGGTGGCAGGCCGGTAAATTGAAGGACAAACTACTTAAGACAACGAAGAACTGATGAGGAGCAAAATATGGCCGGATGAAAGCATGCCCGACGATTGGAGCTTAAGTGAGCTCTGTTTTTAACTCTGCTATAATCGTGTCATCGGTGTTTAAGACGGTAAAAAGGAAGAAGAAGCAGAGGAAGAGAAGGATAGGTCGATCCCAGGTCAACTTCTCAGTAGCAAAGGTGTGCCCTTTTTTCCACACTTCAGCATTCAAACAAAAGTCGTTGCTTTCGTCCATATACATACTATGGACTTATGTACATATGTAAATGCATATGTACATGTGTATCTAAGTATAAAGTTGTCGAATATATACATATTATATATACATATATACATCAATCCATCCATTTCATATTTCCACAAAGCGATCGGCAATAATGCCTTAACCGACGACATTGCGGATGAGGATGCTCATTTCATAAATTGAAATCCAAATATTTACGCAACGCAAACGCATTGAAAACAGTTTAAACAGCAATAATAATAAAAGTATGAATGGCAACGAGTGACCAGCTGTGCATAGTAAAGGCTCGACTGGGCATTGGGCTTCTCACGCAGCTGGTTGCGCTGGTGCCGTGTACATCTTGAGCCAGCAAAGTTGTTGACAAATTCCGCAGATACAAATAGACAGACGAACAGTTGAAAGAGTGGAAGATGTAAAAAAAAAGATCAACGACCAACCAACGCTAACTACAAACATTGGGCAGTATTGGTTAATGGCTTGTGGCAAGTTGCTGCCAGTACGACCGTGGTTGCGGTTGCTGTTGATTGTGTGACATGGAAATTTTTCGCGCAAATATTTTGTCTCATTTTAATTACACGCAATGTTGAAGATGGCAAGCAGGTACATTGATACGTACATATGCCTGTAAGAGTACTTAGGAATATTTGCCCAATCCAAGCAAACAGTCAGTTAGTCAGTCAGTCGTTGTATCGACCGAATGGTCGGTGCGTGCGATAAGACGGAATGGATTCAAACGAGACGCCCGGCTGCTTGGAACTCTGCTGGCCGTCAGCTGGCAATTAGTGGCCAATCAAGCGGTCACTCAAACTGGGCATACCCACCAAATACTGGCGTGCATATGAACCTTTCGCGCCGATCATCAACAAATATACGTGTACATGCACGTATACTCCTTGGTATCTTAGTGTGTGTACGCACATGTATTTTTATTGTTATTATTGCATTATCTTCTTAATGTCATCAGCGTGACGTTGCCAGTGGTGGTGGCGGCGGTGGCGATGGCGGTGGCGCAGTCTGTAGTTGTGGCTATACGAGCAATGTGCCAGCATCCAAGAAGCTTTGCTGTCATCCGCTGATCGCGTACTGTTGATCTCTTGCACGCAGCGTCCGCGCTCCAAACACTGGCGGGCGAGCCATGTCTTGACGATCGGACATTTGAGTTTGTTAATTTATCGCAGTCCGCAAATAAATCCAATAAGCAAATAAAACGATTTAATAAAAAATAAAAACATGAACATCAAACTCCAGCAGCGTAGCCCTTCCAAGCAGTAATAACACCATCGCAGCAATCGGCGCTTATCTAGCGCTGTTCTTCTCAGCCCCAGGCAATGAGTTTGGCCCAAAGTGAATTCTCATCGACAATCAATATGTAAGTATGTACATATGTTGGTATATAAATGTTTGATGTCAGTCTTTTGTAGCTGCCACATACTGCTCAGCGCAGAAAAATTAACCGCCACACACATACACACATACTGATGGGCTGGCAGGCAAGTAGCGTGGCTGGCTAGGTGGCGGCCAACTTAGCGTGCCCAATTTTTTAATTAGTTGCATTGGGCAGTGATTTATGATCGTCGTCCATTCGCGCATTCTTCTTCAGCGTCGCTCAGTGTCTTTCCGTGCTCTGCCCGCCCTCTGATTATTCGTCCTCATGCACATGTAGACATTGCATACATAGTCAAGAGATAATCCGGCATGCAGCTAAATCAAATATGGCTTCTTTCAATTCACAATTCAATTCGCTAGAAAAATATTGCTATGTACATACATACATATATGCTTTATTGCTAGGAAATATATAGCGTTGCATGCAACTTATTCACTGGTAAAATTAAATACAACAACAAAACGCAACAGGATGAATTTAACTATACTTATTTCAGTTAAATATCAATCAGGAAAAATTATCAGGTGCTCTGCTGAGGAAAAATTCTTGGTTAAAACCATTCCTTTTTGAGCTATGAGGTGAAGTGCATCAGTGTGGGCATGGAAGTCTTAACGTAGATGGCATCCATCTGGTGTTTCTCGGCCGCCTTTCATGTTTACATCCAGTTCGGATATAATTTTCTGCATACTGCCGCGTTCTTCACAATTGGGGTACTGTTTCAAACGTCACCCATGGCTGTATCTGTGCCAAAGGTCTTCTATAATAAACTCCATAGGTTGGTATAGATCTTACGACACTTGCATTAAGTTAATACACCATTTGAGGTCTACCTTGGTGCAAAAGCTCTTCTGCAGATATTCCAAATTCGAAACGCTGCACTGGCCTGTTTTTCAAGATGTACTCTCGAGCTTTGTATCAAGGATTTCACCGCTATTAAGGGATATTATAATGGTATCTCTCTTTAAGTTGAAGAGCAGTTTGTCGTCTTCATAAACAACCAGATATCAGATTCTTTTGGCTCTGTCAATCGACTGCGATTTCAAGTTCAACTTCTCTATTACGCATGATTACCGATTGGATTGTTCTTCTTGCATATAACTTTCGCCGTGGTATAACTCAGCAACAGTGCGTCGATGAAGTTAAATCAATTTTTGGCGATTGGCAGCTGGTGTGGTGAATTAAAGCGAGGTCGTAGAACGATCCAAGACGAGTTTCGTGATGGTCGTCCAAATTCAGTTGCTGTTCTGCAAACTACTGATCCTGTGCACAAATGGATATTGATGAGATCGTCAAACGGCCTCTCGTATGATTAAGACAACTATAGGCATTATACTGTCAATTCCTCACAAAAGGCTCTGGTTGATTGGTCGAGAGAAATGTTTGAAAAAAAAACACAATAACGGTGTTCCGAAACAAGCCTATAACATCGTAAGAGGTGACAATAAATCGGGAAAACCAACGAAAATACGTGCGCTGACACATCGACTGAAGCAACTGATATTTCCAGCACTGAAAACATCAGTTTTATGCGTCATCTTCCGTATAATCTTTCCTTGGCACTGAATGACTTATTTTTATTGCCGTACGTACACCTAGAGACAGTTGATACGTAATGCAATTAAAAGTTTGTAGACTTTAATGGAGAATATTTTTAATACCTAAAAACGATAAAAGCTTCCATCTTTCAGCCGTTCTTCAGAGAATGCTTAGTATACACTGTTATCTCCATCTTTGTTGCAAAATACATTAAGATTCACAGCACGAATTGGAAGAGGAGCTCGATGGAAAATCGGTTCAGTTTATTCAAAAATAATGCCGGGTAGAACGTAACTGTCAATGCCGACCGTTATTGTGCCGTGATAACCAACTATTTGATGGCTGAAATTGCAGCTTGTGATCTCAACGACATTTGGTTTCATCAAGACAGCGCCACTTCCCACACATCGCATCAATCGAGGGATTTATTGAGAGAACACTTCGGTGTGCCGGACGTTTGGATACCAAGATCATAAGATATCACACCGTTAGACTTTTTCATGTGGGGATATGTAAAGTCTAAAGTTTATACGGACAATACTGCTCCGATTCAGGCCTTTGAGCAAAATATCAGGACTTGCGAAATGCTCCAACGAGTCCTTGAAAATTAGACTCAGCGGATGGACCATCTGAGGCATAGCCGCGGCTAACGTTTGAAAAAGATTCATAAAATAAATGTCAAAAAATTTTCTTTCGAATGATAATACACATTTCTCATTAAATGGTGGGGAATCTCGAAATACATCACACACATTTATCATAAATTTGATATGGTTATGAAAGGAATAAAGGCTTCGGTATAGCCGAAGTCAGTTTTTATCTCTTACTACTTTCAAGTCATATTTGTATGTAAAAAGTATGGAGTTATGAACTTTAACTACTTTTGTTTCCTGTAAGTGGACCATCGGCCTGGAACCAAGTTCGATTTGCACACAGTATAAATAAGGCTTTCTTTACTGGAAATGGATCACCGAGGGATTCGCATAGATCAAGCGAAGGTATGTTCGCTTCGTATTTTTGTTATTTTGTTACCGCAGGCTAGAAACCATTCTTATGCGTTCAACTGGAGTGTAATTGAGCATAGATCCGAATGATGCGCTTGGCTTACTTCGAGATACATACTTTGATATACTCGTATTGACATTTGGGGAAAGACTTAGAGAAGCGAAGAACTCTCTTACTCAGCTTGTCTTCGGATTGGATTTTTATTGCATTCTTAATTTATTCATATTAATTAGACTTGGAAAAATTTATATATATGTATATATATGACAGGTTACTCGATCCACATTTCAACGAAGAGCGAATTTCGGTCTGATGGCCATGTGCACGTATTTCAAAGAATATTGGTGCCCATGCCAGGTATACCAATCAATACCCTGTGCATCGTCATCATAATCGTATTCACCATCCAAATAGCGACCATTTAGATTGCTGTGGAGAAAAAATTAAAAATTGAGTTTTATAAATAGTTCTGCATTATGTCGATCCTCACCTGTCATGGCAACGATTGTACCACCAAGCGCCCGTATATGTGACTGCGCAACTCTTGGTTGGATCGTTGTCATTATCACGATCTCGCGTTGAAAACTCACGTCCCTTCTGCACTGACAAAGAATCGCCCGCATCACCAGTGAAGCCATCCAATTTATTTAGCTTATAATTCACATTATGATCGCCGATACCGAAATCTGTATATTTTGCAAAACGTTGCTCATCTTCAAAGTCTTCCATCTGTATCCACAACTCATTGGGCTGAGCGTTTGTGAGTGCATGCAATTTGTCTAAGCCAATAAAAAATTCGTTTTCCTTATCACCAAAACCGGCAACGTAATTATCCCAATCCAGGTAGAAGTCTTCAGTGCCGTCCGTGCGCCGTTGAACCACAGTCCAAGCAGGACCACCATCTGGGTCGGCCAGGCAGTAGACTGTAAATGGCGCCAACTCTGTATGCGGCAAATACAGTGTGTAGACACCACTTTCGGTGGTCTCATATTTATCGAAGGCTTCAGCACAAGTCGTTGGTAAATCGGCATACACATCGACATGGCTGGGATTGTCGTTTTTCTGAAGAATTTGGTTTAATTTAGTTTTCAGTGCAGAGCGCAGTGATGTTTTCAATTGGTCCATGCTATACAGGAAGGCAGGGGTGCGGGAAATTATGTAGTAAATTGAAATTAAACTGATTGTGATAAAAAATTATAATAATACTTCTTAGCAAAATCCGATTTCAAATTCATCGAATTCTCATTCATTTTGTGTTCTAGACCCTGCGTACGAAGTTCAAGTTCGGTCCTATAAATCTCTGCAGTCGCACTCTTGTCTCCCAATTTTTCTTCTAATTGATTCAATGTGGACTTTAGGTTTTTCTCTTCGTTGACGATATCCTCAAGCGTAGTTTCTGGAAATCTGTTTGGAGAGGAATAAAGTGAAAAGCCAGCGCAATCCTCTCATATCCTCGTACGCAAAGAGAGAGCACTCTCTCTTACCTCAAATCATAGACTTCCATTTTGTATAATTTATTGTCCCTCGCATAGACGGCGGAGCTCAATTTTTTCCCGTAGCATTTTTCAAAATTATTCCCACACAAAAAGTTCTAAAAAGGGAATTTGGAAATCAGTAAAGCAAATATTGCATGTACATATATATATATATGTAAATTCAATTTGCCACTTACACTGAAGGCATCTCCATTGCTCTTTATACCACCATTATCCTCCTTGGCGGGCGTGAGGCCCGAGGTGAATGCTTTAGCCGACGCGGCGAAGTACACAAGGGCGACTGCCAAGGATGCTAAATACAACCAATTCATATTTTCAATTGACTCACTCTTTTTTAGCACCCAACTTTCGAATGCAATAATTTATATTATTGCGATGCTATTTATATTAATAGGACAAATATTACCTTATAATACGATTATACATATATACAAAATAGCCTATTGACGTAGGCATATCACTACAAACATACACGTGTGTATTGACTCTCAAATTTATTATCACCAATTCGTAGAAAGAGCTCATCAGTTACTCGTAAGCATTGAATAGCATTGCACTTGAAAAACGGGCTGGAGGGAAAAGGCGGAAGATGATCTGTCTCTCTACGTTTACAACAGATTTCAGAGAAAAACTCATCATACAATTTCATCAGATAAAGTTAATATTTATATGTAAAATATGTACAAAATGTTATGAAATGAACTAAATTTTATTTGAAACAAAATGATAAGTTCAATCGTCATAAATGAAAAATTAATATGAACATTACTTTTGTACAATTACGCATATACGAGTATATGGGAGTTTCCAGTATGTCAGACACAACTAAGAAACCAGTAAGCTCAAACTGAAAGCAAGAAATATTAAAGGCTTATCCATTTCGTGATTTCAAAAGTACAGGGCTGTATTTTGACAACTGTCCAAACATAACGAAACAAAGGAAACCAAAAGTGGGAATTAAACGTGACCAGGTTTCGTGCTTTAAGAGGCGATTACGGTGCCCCTCAAACATCATTACTGTAAGGGAAAGTGCAGCCGAAGACCCGATTGTTATTAAAATAATAATAATAATTATTAATATTATCATGATTATTATTATTATTATTATTGCTATTATTATTATTATTATTATTATTATTATTATTATTATTATTATTATTATTATTATTATTATTATTATTATTATTATTATTATTATTATTATTATTATTATTATTATTATTATAATTATTATTGTTATTATTATTAATAATATTATTATTGTTATTATTCTGTTTTTCTTCTTCTATTCATTCCTCTTCATTTTTTCGGCTACGGGCTCTTCTTCTTCTTTTGTTTCTTCAGCTTCTTCTTCGAATCTTGTTTTCTGTTTCTTCTTCTTCGATTTTTGGTTTTTCTTGTTCATTATTTCTTTGGAATTTCTTGTTCCTTGTTTTTCTCAGCTTGATTTTCTTCTTCGACTCTTGTTTTCTTCTGCTACGAATGCTGGTTTTTACCTTTTATTTGTTTTTTCTACTTCTTCATCTTCTTTGTTTCTTCAGCTTCTTCTTCCTTTTTCTTCAGCTTGAGGTTTAGCTTGAAGTTGAAATTTACCTATTCGTCGCTTTGCGTCGAATTAGACACTGATAGTTGTCGGGAAGAAATGCTTCGGGCGCTTGATGTTTTGTTTCCGTCCTCGTCTTCAACGTGGTAAGGTTTCAATCCACTTATGAGCGTCGTTCTCGACTTTCCATTATGCATCCTGTCGACGATTACTGGTGATACAAAATTCGTCACTCTAAATGGCCGTGTCTCGGTGCTAACTTTGCTGCCAAGTTCTCGTATGCCTTCGATAAATAATGCTCCTTCTATCTTCGTTGACGTGAGATGTAGTGACCAGGTTGTTCGATTGCTGCCTTTTGTTGGTTCCTTCTTACCATTTTAAATATTTCTCGCATCTTTATTTCTGGAGTTGAAGATATCTCTCCTGTGCCAAATGTGGATTCGTCACAGAGAGCTTTCGGTGTTCGCCTACGTTGAGCGCCAGTTGTAACGAACGTTCTCAAAAGCTGTGACTTTTTTATGGCACATGATAGATTATTTTGCACTTTAACTGGAAACTACATCTATATAAAATCCAGCTCTCCCAACAACTGTAGTCAGCTGGTCAGTATACCGTAGCATTCACAATACCGTACCTCGCATCAATAACAAGCAGTGGACGGCGATTTTTCGAACACAATTTTCTTCAACGACTGGGTACATTTCTCACTCTGGAGAAGTTGCGCACTTAATACTCCGAAAATCATCGAATAATTGAAGAGTCAATTACACCGAAAAAAATCTCACTGTCTGGTGCGCTCTTCGGTTGCGGGGTGGGATTGGATCTTACTTCTCTGAAAGCAACAACGACGAGACTCGGTCAATGCAAAGCGTTATGTTCGTATTATAACCGATTTCTTTTGTTCAGCTAATGCAAAACTCAACTTGGATAATATGTGGTCTCAACAAGTGAGAGAAATTTCCCGCGCGTTTTTGGCGAAGTCAATTAGCCATCGAGATCATGCGATTTAACACCGTTGGAGGGCTATGTGGAAGACCGTGCTTATGCGGATGAGCACTTAAAACCCAACATTCATCAAGTTATGGGTGAAGGTAACACGTAATGGGCGTGCCAAAAAGTGGTTGAAAATTATCTCAAACGGCTTGGAGTTGAAGTTTGTGAAAATTCATTTGCTTCATTCATTTGATTTGAATGATGTAGTACATATAATGCCAAGGTTCAAAAATAATAATAAAAAAGGAAATTCATGATATTATTTTAAATGCATTTGAATTACGTTTATTTGCGAAACCGCAAAATGGACTTGACGGTGCTGTCAAAACATAACAGAAAATCTAAATTTGTTTACAATTTTTTTGTGCCTTTATAGGCGTTTACTACTTACTTTAGAAATCAATGTCGCACGGGACATATGTTTGTATAATTCGTTAATTTTTATCTGAGCTCTCTCTTGGTCTTGAAAATTTGCAATGAGTCGAAAGAGGAGATTATTCAATGAAACATTTTGTACATTTATGCATTAGTCAAATTAGTTTGCTAAGTTTTTTTCACATAAAAGCTGGCAAATTTTATGGAGAGTAAAATTTCAAAAAGCACTTTTGCAGGTACTAAACAAACTAGCAATTCTAATCGTTTAATTAAATTTAAAAAAAAAAAATATATAAAAGATATGCATTGCCAAGAAAAAAGACAAATTTTAAACACATTTTAACTTGTGATAAGAAATCAAATCCACAACATGTAGTCATCGAATTGACTAACCAGTCGCTTTAAATGATAATTTCTTAAATTTGTTAATTTCGAAAATGGTTAAAAATTTAATTTGAAACTTCAAAAACTTCATTTCTTTGATCAATTTTTGTATAAAAGTAAAAGTGTCGGGAATATTTTCCCCAAGTTTCAAGTCGATCGAGACGAAACTGTAGAAATTAGAGAGTTTTGTAACCCGGCGTCTTTGTCATGGCTTGACCGATGCCGAAACTTCAAACGCGTTTTTCTTACAACCACTTCATCGAAATCCGTAGGCAAAACTTCTCAACGACTATTTAAGCGATCGAGTTCGAGTTTACCACATTTTTTTTGAGCATGTTTTTGTAGTCCCTGAACGAAGGATTTATTTTATCTTTGATTTCAACTCATTTTACAAGCCCACATATTGGCCTAATTTTATGCAAAAAATTACCTTTTTTTGTAAAGAAAACGCTTCGTGTGGATAGTCCACTTCACGACACTGCCAACGCCTTAACTTTTACTATTTTTCATTCAAATTTTCATCAAATGTTGCAAGACCGACCCTCGACATTGCACCTTCTGATTATCATTTGTTTCGATCGCTGCAGAACAATTTGAATGGAAAAAAATTTAAAAATGTGGAAGACGTAAAAAACCACCTTGACACCTTTTTCAACGAGAAACCGCGCGATTTCTATGAATCAGGCATCTGTAAATTGGTTGAATGTTGGGAGTGGATTGCCGAACATGATGGCGAATACATAATTGATTAATAAAATCGCTTTCTTCAAAAAATTTCATCTTTAGTTTGCACTTGAAATCGGGCACGAACTTATGCACTCATCCAATAGATAAAATAAACTTTTTTTTGGCCTTCAAGGCCTATGTAACCTCTTAAGGAACTTACGCCACTTTCGTGCTTTATAAGAGTACATACATACATGTATACATACAATATATACACAAGTATAAATTTTATTATATTCAACTTAGGCATTGTACGGCAGAAATAATCGGAAAAGGTCGACATTAATAATCGGACTTCGTATTGACCTCTGATTAGCTTTGTTGATTAATTTATGAAGAGGAATTTTATTTTTGCGCATACAAATAAATAAAATGGATCTATTTAATATGCATTTCTGATTCATGATTCATTTTTGAAATATAACCATACACATACATATAAAACTGAGAATTGCTGGACCGATTTAATTAATTTTGATTTTGAAATGTTTGTGGAAGTTCAAAGATGCTTTGAACGGTTATAAACACAACGAAAAGTTTAACCGATCTATTCGTATAAGTCGTGTTTATGTTTAGAATTTACTTGAAATTTGGTAGATAGATTTTTTCTTAGATTACCAGAATTACTACTTTTTTTTCGAGAAGTAAATCCGCATTTGATCTAGAGCTAAAGAAATAAATCGATTTTGTATACGTTTTACTTTAAATTCTTGTCAGGATCAAATAACGATCTTTTTGCAAAAATTATAATTGAAAAAATATTTATAGTTCAATTTGAATGACTCTTTCACAAATATATTTAAGTCTAGATTAATGTATTTAGCACATTTATGGAAACGGATTGATTTGCTTGATAGCTTTTTTCCTAGATCAATTAAAGGAGGGTAGGGTATGGTGGCGTGTAAGGTATGATGGCGTGTAAGGTATGATGGCGTGTAAGGTATGATGGCGTGTAAGGTATGGTGGGAAACTATCAAATAAGACTTGTTACGACAAGTCTGAACGGGCTTATCAATGCGGCTGATGTTTTTAATCGTCTTGACATTTTATACATATATGTACACCAGTTATAATCAGCAGATGTGTTATTTGTCCTATGAGTGATTTCGTATAAATTTTATTGATTTTTCCTTCTAAAAATTATTGTGATTTCGAACAAAAAGTAATGAAAAAGAAACCAAAATGTGTTATTTGATATGTATCTTGACAGTGCTAGTGTAAAGATTTTTCGAAAATTAATTCAGGTAAATATATGGAACGTGTTATATAGGCGCTACACAATATTTTTTTGGTATTTATCAGATGCACAACTTTGCTTCCGACGTTTTTTTTCCAAAATTAAAAGCTT